GTAAGAATTGTGATGGAAACGATGTGTGATATGTATATGTATACCTTACATTATATTTAATGTTATATTGTTTAGTATGACATTACACGTTTACCTGTTCATGCATGTTTAAATAGTTAGAGTTTTCTTCCATATTTTTATTATGCCTCACTAAGTCTATGACTTAGCGTGTAAGTAATTCACACGTATGTACCAATAAACAAGAAGAGCAGGAATAAAATTGACAATGACAACATCACTACTAATAGATCAGATCAGAAATAATTGACAAAGTAGGTATTTTGGTTGTGTATAGAGTGTGTGGCATGTAATAAGTTGTTAATTACGAATGCTCTGATCGATTTTGTATTTTGTGGTCTCTTTTATGTAAATTAACGTATTTTGTTTTAATGAAAGTTTGAAAAGTCAATGTGACACCTCGGACTCATATTTGGGTCGGATACGGGTTAGGGGTGTTACACCTCTATCTTTTGATTTTAAGATAACTTAAACTTTTCTTAAGCTTAGTTATCATCTAGGGATCAAAACCCAACTTAAATTTTAGCTTATAATCAACAACAAATAAATCTTACCTTTGCTAGAGCTTTTACGTGGAGAAGAGAAGAAGATGAAGATGGAAGAGAGAAAAGTAATATGGAATTGATTTCCCAAAACATATGCTCCACATGGGTATTATAATACCCATTAATTATTATTTTATTATTTCCCTTGTTCAATGATCATTTTGTCCTTTAGTTCATTTAATAATTATTAATAATTTTTAGGAAATATCTTCACATAAGTCATTGAACTATTTAACTATTCTACTTTTATCCCCAAATTCTAAAATTTTACAATTTAATCACTAACTCATAATTTGAGATGTTACATGTAATGCATGGAAAGGTAAGTCTCTCCTAACTACTATCTTGAAGCTAGTTTGATGTGCTTTTATCTATTCACTGTGGGAGGAAATAAATATAAAATTATATTGAGGTAGCTCAAGAAGCGTGAATGAAATCTTGAATTCCATTAAGGAAATTGTAGTACCCAACTAGGAAATTGTAGGTACCCAACTAAGAGGGATGAATATAAATAGATTAGATGTTTGCATTTGTAACCAATTGGTATTGATTAATCATTTTTGCTGTAAGTAGGCTGTATTTTTATACCATTTGTGGGATCAATTCTGTAGCTTAACTTTGCCTCTTGGGGGTAATAAAATCAATTATCCAAAAAAAGTTATTACCTAAAATCCCTAAGGCTTATTATTGTCTCTCTTACCCAAATCCGACTCTGGTTATCTTTGTATTTTCAATTTCAATTAAGTGGTAAGTTCCCAAACTCCTCTTTCAGATCTTGCAATTCATTCTCCATTGTTTCGTTGGTTTCTGTCAATGATCGACGAACTTTTCACTCTCATATATTTTTGCACTCTTAGAAGTTTACATCTTTTACCCGATTTATTCGAGATTAATAATTGGATCGTCTCTGTTTCTGGGAAAATGAAATAATTTGCACCTTTTCGTTTTTTTAAAAAACTTGTATTGGTTTCTATCTCATCCGCCACTTGTAGTTTTAGTATTCGTTTAATTTCTCTAATTCTTCTTTAAACTTTTATTTGTCTGACAATGATTATCACGCTGGTATTTCCTTTCTCTTAAGAATGAAGTAATTGTTTTCGAGGTTGTGAAGAGAAAAGTAAATTGGAAATTATTTGAAACACAATAGGAACAGAGAAAATCTCAACATTTAGTAAATTACACGGGTCCCCCCCCCCCAGGCCAGTTTCTTTCAAGCTTCTTTGTTGGATGATTGTGGGTTGGTGGCAAAGAAATGAGTGGAGTAAAAAGGGCTAGCTCAGGTATGCTAATATTACATCAATCCTTTGATGCTCATTTTCTGTAAATGCAATTGAGTGATTTGAAATATATTATAATCATGTTCTCCATGAAAAAATAGTAAGGGTCTAATTGATCAGATAGCTTGGAAAGCCTTGAGTAAATGTTAATGTTTTCTGGTTAAGCTTTCCTTCAAAGGTTGCTAATGGAAACTTTGCTGTCAACAACAGATAAAATGAGACAATTCTGCGAATGTACAATCGTATGCCAAAAAAAAATTAATTAGTAGGTATGCATCATACATGGGACATTTTCCTATACATTTCTCAAAGTTATTGCTTGAGGTCTTAGTCAAAATATTTCTGCTTGGCCTGTGCATCCCAACTCAAATAAAATAAGGTGAAAATAATATATGCTTGTCTTAAAGAGAAGCTTATCTTTTGGATTTGGCTTTTTCAGAATTCAGTTGTCAACTTATTTACTTCACTGCAAAGGGTAAAACTTGTTTTTATGAAGCCCTAAGAGTCACAATGATGCTTGAGAACAAAGGGATAAATTCCTATCCTTAATACCACTAATTTCTTTTTTTTCCCCCTCCTCTCTGTAACCTTAGAAAAAATTGGATTTACTGCAAAAGGTGAGCACTTATAACCTGGTTTTGTGCTGTTATACGCTACAAAATTAGCAGTTCATTTTTGGATTTACATCGAGTATAAGAGGTCAGATAATCTCCATTTTTAAGTTGAACCTTTAAAGGTAAAATCACATTTCTTTTTAAAGGTTAATGCATCTTTGGTCTTCCTTAAATTTTACTGAACTTTGTAGAAAATGCATTTCCTCTGCAGCTAAAGTAAGATTGAGGAGCTTATTGAATCAAGCTGATAACCGCACTTGTGCTGATTGCGGTGCTCCAGATCCAAAGTGGGCGTAAGTTTTACTGTCAAGGCATATTTAGAGTTTGCCTATTCATTTCTTATCCTATGAATAGGAGATAAGAGTACCTGATGAATACATGTCTCTGTGGTAAATTTAAGTATGCACTTTATGAAAAGCTTATAACCTAACCATAAATCATAGTTATGGACTTGATCAAGCATGCATACGTATGTATGTTTTTTGTAGCACAAGAAAGGATTAAGAAAATCAATTGGAAATTGTATTTTCAGATCAGCAAATATTGGAGTCTTATTATGCTTGAAATGTTGCGGTGTGCACAGAAGCCTCGGTGTACACATCTCCAAGGTGATTAATGTGTTTGCATGTAATGTATTTTTTTTCTCATGGAATGATCCCTGATTGCGAAACATATGAGGGATTTTCTGTTGGCTATTTATTGTACACATCTGTATAATTTCTAGTGGGCAATTTATTTATCCGAGGTTTAGCAGAATGAATTTGATAAATCAGTAAAAGTAGATAAAATGTGTGCCTTGATAACTGAACCAACAGTGTGTGCCTGTGAATTTCACACAGTTTATAGACAAAATGTTTAGGATATAAATGAAAACAAAAAGTAAATCTAATCGATTAATATGCTAACTAATAGTCTACTTCTAGCCTGTAACCATTTATTTATCCAGAGTGTGTCTTTGTTAGTTCACATACGTGTATTTCTTGAAAGCTTCTCTGGGCTTAATCTGGTTGATTATTGGAAGAACATTCATGGATCAAGATTAAAATTTAATTATCTTGAGGATTAATTTCATTTCAGCTGAGGTTTGTGAGATGCACACAAATTGTCATGCAAAGCTGATATATGGCACAAAAGATTTTATCTGTCAACTGTGACATTTGAATTTTTCATATGTTTAGCTGAAGTTTTTACATGTTTATGTTACCTTTGTGGAATCTTTTAATGGTGGTATATCATGATGAATTTTCCCATTTAAGGGATTAACATAGGGCATTATACTTGTAGAATATTTTAACTGCAGTGTATCGTGATGGAATTTCCCATTTAAGGGCTTAACTTGGAGTACTATTTTTTTTAATGTTATATAATCGTTTTGACCTCATTGGTACCTATATATCATGCTTACAGTTCCTCTTACATCATATTATGCAATACTTTAAGCTTTATTTTAGTGTCTTGTGATTTTCCTAGATTGTCATTTGTATATTTGTAGCTTTTTTTTTTTACTTTCCAATGATTCCAGGTTCTATCCGTGGCATTGGATGAATGGTCTGATGAAGATATCGATGCCATGATTGAAGTTGGAGGAAATTCCGCTGCTAATTCAATCTACGAGTCTTATATACCTGACGGATATATAAAGCCTGGTCCAAATGCTAGTAATGATGAGCGGAGGAAATTTATTCAGTTAGATTTCAGACAATTTACAATCTCTCAATTTGAGCATTTCTTTCTTACTTATATCTGGTGCTGTATGTGTTTAAAAACTATTTTTCATGTAGCAGCCTTTTGTGGGCACTTCTTTACTGATTTGTATGGAAAGCCAGTTTCATAAACTGCAGTAATCTTATTGTGACCTACCGTTTAACTTATTTTACATATAGCAGATTTGATAGATTATCAACGCTTAGATGTTATAGTAATTACTTGTTTCAAATCTTCCTGCAGGGCCAAGTATGAACTTCAAGAATTTGTGAAACCTAGCTTACGGATCACATCAGGGAGGAGTTCTTCTTCTGTCCAATCAAACATTTCTGGAAAGATTCTTGATACTATCCTATCAAATTCATCGAATTCGGTAATTCTTTTGTTTTTTGCTTCTTCCAATCTGATTCTCTGTCTTGGGAACAAGGAAGATCATGTTGCTAATGATTTTAAGAGATCATATGGTCACTTTTTTGAATAGCATGAGATGAACATGTACATGTGATTCTTTTATATCATCCTGTTTGTAGGATTCTTGCATTCAATTTATTTTTCTAGGTCTATAATTATTTTTGTAAAAGTAGGTCTGCAATTAACACTAACAATTTGAATACCACAAGCCGGACTTAATATCTTACTGCACTTCATAACTTCAATCCGTTTGACCTGAAAGTGATTACAGGAAGGCATGGTTGAATTTATTGGGTTACTGAAGATCAAAGTGGTAAAAGGCACAAATTTAGCCATCCGGGATATGATGACAAGTGATCCTTATGTTCTCCTAACTCTTGGGAAGCAGGTTAGTTGCTTTCTGTCATTCGTTTTATTCTCATAAAGTTTTGTCAAGGCTATACATTGTGTTCTTGTTTTCTTTTGTCAATCTCAATCTGTAGACCTCTTTTTTTTCTTTTTTTTTTTGATAAGAAATGGAGGCCTTGTTAAAAACCCCCTTCATAACCGTCAAGAACCCTGGGGTATCTCGACGGCCATTGGAAGGAGGGAAAGAGTGCCTCATAATTTTATTACTGCCGAACAAACCATTACATTATAACCAGTACATAATAGACAAAACCAGCATACTAGAAGAACCTATAGTAACCTAAAACCAGAAATTCATCCAATTCCTCTCTTAGCTAATTCATCCGCTTTACAATTCACAATTCTGCTAACATGTTTTACAAGAACACTCCTATTTTCTACCAATGAACTAATATCCTTGACTAGAGAACTGAAAATCGTAGGAGAAGAACTCGGACACTTGATCCAATCCACAACTTTACTACTATCACTCTCCACCATTAATCTTCCCCTCGAGCTCCAACTTGAATTGAAGAAGTATAATAACCCTGCTTTAATGGCCAATAACTCGGTCAGAATTGGAGGGCCTCCCCCAACACTCTCAGAGAAAGAACTCAGAACAGCCCCGTCTTCATCCCTCAAAATACCACCTATTCCCCCTTTACACCAAGACTTCTCCACAGCTCCATCAACATTAAACTTGAAAAAATCTTTAGGAGGAGGATTCCAAGAAAGCGAAGAATCACTAGATTTAACATTAAACTCACAAGAATCAGCTAGAACCGGATTCCCCACAAGACAGTCAAACATAATAGGGAAATCAGGAAATTTAGCAACAAACCAAGAAACCAGTCTATACCTCGTTAAGAAATGCAACAAAGCAGTGTCCATCTTCCTACCATAAAAAATAATCTCATTCCTGAACTTCCAGACGGACCAAATAATAGCTCCAGGAATAAACGCCCATATTTTTGAACAAGGGAACATCCTTCTCTACTCTTCAAGTAGATCAGATGGACTATCTGGAACAACAAAGGCAATGTCCCAACTCAAAAGAAAATAAGACCATAACTGCCAAACTATCAGGCAAACAATAAATAAATGCGATACTGTTTCCGCATCCATACCACACAGGGGACATATATTATCCAAAATCCCATTAACTCCATGTTTTAGAAGTTCAACTTTAACTCCTACCTTCATTCGCAGAACCTGCCATAAAAAAACTTCGACCCGAGGAGGAGCCACCCTAAGCCAAACAAGTTTATGCCAATCCATGTCAACCTTTTCTTGCTCATTCATCAATTTTAAACAAGATCTAACTGAAAAACCCCCTCCCCATTCCCTTTCCACACAAAGGTGTCTTCCAACGAAGCATCAACAACCGAACTGCATAAAATAGAGTTTAATTCGAGCCAAAGCTGTAACTCCCAATCTGCAAGATTTCTCCTCACTTGAATGTCCCAAAACAACCCCGCTTGACTATGGTTTCTGAACTCCGATATTGTTCCCCATTTGTTAACCGCAAGAGCGTACAACCTTGGAAATTTGTCTTTTAAAGACACATTCCCCTCCCACACATCATGCCAGAAAATAATAGCCTCCCCACTCCCATCCTTGAAGCTGAAATGCTTTCTGAAACTATCCCCAAAATCATCCTTAGCCAAACAACTATTAATCACTCCTTTCCATACCCAAGAAGCTTTCAGAAATCCCCTTCTCTCGATAGACAGATATTTCGGGTCCACACCATTCTTACAACACACTACTTTTTTCCACCACGACCTAGATTTAGTCGCAAAACGCCAATACCATTTACCCAAGAGCGCTCTATTCATGAGGTTCAGATCAATAATCCCTAGACCGCCTAACTCCTTAGGTTGACATACAGACTGCCAATTGACCCAATGGATTCTTCTCCTCCCATTCAAATCACCCCATAAAAAGTTAGTCATTATTGAATTCAACCTCGAGAGGACACCAGATGGCAACCTGAAAACAGACAAGTAATAAATTGGTAAGGAACATAAAACCGATTTGATTAACACCACCCTCCCTGCCATGGAAAGAGAAGCAGCTTTCCATCCCGACAGCTTCTTATAGAACCTCTGAATTCTTTTGTCTCTCTTCTCTATAGACCTCTTTATAAATTATGTTATTTCTTTTGTCTCTCTTCTCTGTGTGTACGTACATCGGTACATGGATTTCTTGGCATTATGCTTGTAGATTAACAGTATCACTTCTGCACGTGGATTAAGCTGTCAGTACCCTTACTTTTTGCTTTGTCTTTCTTTTTGGAATTCGAGGTTGCAAGTTTTTACTCCTGGTCATTGAAACTAAGAGTCTAGCACTTTAAGCACACAGCTATTGACAGGTTGTTAGTACCATTCACTTGGTAGTATTGTGGATTTGTGGTTCAGATCTTACACCTATTAAATATTTTGCGGTACTTTATATATCTGTTCTCTTGATTGGCAGTTATGTTACTTGAACTTTGCTGTATTGAAAATGGGTGGGTATGTTCTTTTTTTTTTTCCAAGTTGTTTTCATGTATTTGGTTGGAGGACTATTTGAAAGGTTATATTTCTATGCCTATTTCCAGCTACGTATCAGACACAAATACTAAAAAAATAAAGAAAAATAGTCAGAGTAACATAGATTGGTACCGTGTGCATATTTCTTTTGGGCTGCTTTACTTGCTTTCTTATGTTTTTGTTTTTCCTACCAATATAGGATTTTTTTATTTTTTATTTTTTTTAAAAATCCTACCAAAATAGGATTTAGTTGCTTTGAAGGGTTCCTTTTTTTTCAAAACATGGTAACAATGGGTGACTTTTGGTCTTCTTAGACTGTTCAGACGACTGTAGTATCGAGCAACTTGAATCCAGTTTGGAATGAGGAACTCATGCTATCTGTTCCTGACAACTATCGACCTGTGAAGTTGGTAAGCGTACTTTTCCCCTAATCTCAGTTATTTAGAAACTATGTAGTTGTTTCTTTAAAAATAGAAAGAAAATTTGTAGTTAAAAAGTATGCTTGGCTATTTATGAAGAATCTGTATATGGTGATAGGGCTGATTAAGTTGGATTTGGGTCAAAGTCATATGAGTTCTATTATTTGGCTCTGTTAAGTATTTTGTGGTTCAGGTTTGTTTGGCTACATGATGGCTGGGATTTGGTCTTCCAGGTTTTGGATCAATTTGACCTGTATGAGAACAAGTTTTTGGTGGGTTATCTCATGCCAACTTTTGTTGCCTCTATGTGCAATGCATAAAAGCAGTAACCAGGTGGGACAATTAGTTGTGAGGTCAAGTTACTTTGATTTCATTTCATTTCAGGTCCCTGGCTCAAATCGATTCAAATTTGGATTAGCTCTTCAAGTTATTAAAGTTTTGACACGATAGTCTGGTTTTCTACTGGTCAGATTCATTAGAAATGGAAAATATTTCTTATTAAAGTTATTTTCTATTGATGATCTAATTTCGCACCCTCTGAAATTTTGTAATTTCCCACCCAAAATTTCTAATATAATTTTACAAGTTCGCACCCATATGATGTCTCTGTGTTCATGGTTTCAGTCTCAAAGGACTAAGAGGGGTAAAAATTATGTGTACTGCACAGGGAAAGAAAGGGAATGTATAAGCAGACCTCCATTTCTATCTGATTAAAAGGATGTAACTAGAAGTGTCAGATCGTTTGTCAAGATTGGTTTAGTAGAGCTAGAAATCAGTGGGAGGTGAAACGACTGAAGCCTGGATTTGCAACACCTATTGCATTCATTATCTATTTAGATGAGTTCAATTTATAATTCAAAGATACGCAGACAAAAAGGCAGTTGCTAGAGCCAACAGTAGAACATGCCGGTGTTATTATTTTTAGGCAGGAAAATAAAGAAACTATCCAAAAGCTAGCCTTATTAGCTACATCTATACTAGGCGCATTCTCAAGTTAAATCTCCCATTTAGTTATTACTGTCACTTTTTTCTTTGATACTAGGGATTACTCGGATTTGAACTCCAGCTTGCATGCCGCATAAACCCTTCTAGCCACTTCAACAAGAGGTCGTTGGCAGTTGTAGCTATTGCTATCTATTATGAGTTGCTGCATTTTGGCTCACTTGACTAGGAGTTTCACATTAGAGAGGGGGAAAAAAACTTATAGATTAGAGGGCCAACTTATATTGTCAACTTTCTGTTATTATAAACTATGTTGCTTTAGCACTTTATTTTTCTACAAGTACCCTTGTTCGACACCCGTACTCAATACACATGCGAAGATAGGTATGGGGATTTGATCCTTGAATAGCTTTCCAAATACATGAAAATCTCGGACAAAACCAACATACTTATGCAGGACATATTCATGTCAAAAATTCACAATTGAGTCAGACTGATATTTGATTTTCAATAAAACTACATACTATGCAATGCTTGGACATTTATTATACTAGTTTAGTCTTGATTAAGTAAACTAACTTTTATTATTTACGATGACAAGATATATGATTGATTTGCCGATGCTTGCATTACTCATTCATTCATACAAGATCTCCTGCCATCTTAAGCATATAATTACAATGAGTTTCTCTAATCTGTTGAGCTTCTACACTGTAGCAAGTATATGATCACGACACCTTCTCAGCCGACGATATAATGGGAGAAGCAGAGATTGATATCCAGCCCTTGATAACATCTGCAATGTCATACGGAGACCCCCAAATGTTCGGGGATATGCAGATCGGAAAATGGGTGAAGTCCCATGATAACGCCCTTATGGAGGATAGCATCGTCAACATCGTTGATGGGAGGGTGAAACAAGAAGTATCACTCCATCTCCAAAATGTTGAATCTGGAGAAATTTATTTAGAAGTAGAGTGGCTGCCTCTCGATCAGTAAGCATGTGTAGTGTAATTGTATTGGCTTCAATATGTGTAGACACCCGTTTTTGTCCGGGTCTTTTCTATCTAATTGTAATTATTATTATTATTATTATTATTATTATTATTATTATATTATGCTTATTTATTGTTATTAATATATTACAAATTTTTGCAGGCCTAATCCCTAAGCCCAACAGTAGAATTACAAGCTGGAGCCCAGACCCGGTTCAGGCCCACAAGTACCCAAGTAATTAGGGTTTTAAACCCTAAACATATCATCATCCAGTCGCCGCCGCCAGCAGCAGATGAACAGCCGCGCCACCGTCACTGTTCCGGCCCGTCTCGCTCCACTCCGACTGCTCCCACCTGCACCAACAGTAACCCCATCAGTTCTAAATCAAACCAATCAAAGGAAATAGTAAACAAATCAAAACCCTAAATTAAAAAAATACCTAAATCCCGATAAATCGAGAAATTTGTCCCTACCAAGATCAGAGACCATTACCCCTACGCTAGCATCATCATCATCTCACCAAACGAAGCAAAATCAACCATAAATCAAGCAAGGATATCAGAGGAAGGGGGGGACATTCGGGTTTTGGGGGTTTCCAGAAAAAACGAGAGAGATAAAAAACAGAGAAAACATTTCGAAATAAAGAAAGGGAGAGATGAAGCAAATAATAGAAAAAAAGAAAAAGCCAAGAGTTACATAGCCAAAGGAGAGAAAGAGAGAACCCTTACCTCGGTCGGAGGAAGCCATCGAGAACACCAAAGGTCGTCGGTGTCTTATTACTTCGAAAGGTAAACTTGTAGATCTGGGGGCCTAGAGTGGGTTTTAGACTAAGATGGTTGGGGATTTGGGTTGAGGAGAACGAGGGGGATTTTTTGAGATAGGTTGCTCCCTCCGGCCACCGTGCGTCGCCGTGGACTCCGCCGGCGGCAACGGTTGGCACCCTCTCCGATGAGAGAGTTGGGAGAGTTCTCTCCAACTCCCTCTCTCTGGTTTTTGGTTGAAATGAAGAAATGAGGGAAATGGTTACGGAAAGCCGTTTTGGGGGCTTAAATAGGGGAGTCAAAACGACGCAGTTTTGACCTTCCTTTTCCGTGTTTTCTGTTTAGGGTGTAATCACATTCTAGGTCACCCGTTCTTTGTAATATCTTATTGAAGCCATGTAATGAAGTTTCAATTTCTTTGATTTTGAGCATTCATTTTTCAGTATTTATATTTTAGTCCTATTATTACATGTTATGTTATTATAGTTATATTTTACTTTGGCCACAATGTTTGTATTAGTTTCATTTTAGTCACTAATTTCGTGTGTTGTGTATTTTTGTGAATGTTCGAATTTGGACAGGATATTTATGTATTTTACATTTTAGTCACTGTTGGGTATTTGGTTTAATTATTGTTCAGTCCCCCATGCTATATCATACTATTTTGTTTATGTTCGATTCTGGTTTTAATATTTACAAATGTTTCATTTCAGTCACTGAATGTACCTTTCTTTATTTTTTAATTAGTATTTTTAATTTCTTTGTTTACATTATGGTCAATGTTTTAGTATAAATACTTTAGGTAAATTTATTGTTTGCCCTTACGAATTTATGTTTTAATTTGTTTTAGTCCCTTAATTACTTATTTTTGTATTTTATTTTGGTTTGTAATGTTTATTTATTTTTATTTTAGTCATTTATATATGAATGTATTTTACATATTACATGGTTATTTGTATTATGTAAATAATGTGTTTAATTCCATTTAATGTAAATATTTGTATTTCCAATTACATTTATTCTCATTATATTTGTATCTATGTATGAAATATTTGATTTTCGATTTTATTTTCAAGAATACATATGCGTAGAATGAGCGTGGAAAGTACCACTTGGTCGAAGTGGTGTGATCCGGTACGGCATTTTAACGACATAGAAACTTGAAATAAGTTGAGTATATTTTGCTAATTAATTTGTTCAAACGATGCAATGTGTGTTATTTTAAGTGACAATTTACTTTATTTTATGTGAATGTAAATTTCAAAATTTTTAATTTGTATTCAATTCATTTTTTAGTTAATCAATTTATTTTGTTGTATGCAAACGTCAATTTTATTTATATTCGATTCGCATTTTATAAAGAGGGAAATATTCTTTATGGATAAGAAATAGTCGAGTTAGCTTTCCCGATGGAGGATTGTTAATTTCGAGATTTCTTTTCGAGTTAAAGAATTTTCTCTAGTTATTTAATTCGAAGCAAATTAATCAATGTTCGATAAATAGATCATTTTTAACTTTATATACGATTTATAATTTCCATCATTTACGACGGTGTGTAAGCGACAC